ATAATGGAACACTGATGAGCTGCAACACCGAGCATCACTCCACCGGGTCAATAATAACGCCTCCTGGGGCACACTTCTGTTAAAAAGGACAGATGGGGATGTTATAGGCCAAGGAGGCTTTCACTTGCTTTGTTTGTGATTGAAGTGTCTAAAAACCCACCACAGTCCCTGGGTTTTTAAAATATTGTAAATTAAGACATTCATTTTTAAAAATTTCTAGGTTAAACCATTGAAGAATATGAGCTTTCATGTGGCAACTGCACTGAAATAAGATGTTTTACTTGTAATATTTAAGACATTAGGGCTGGATTAGTCTGTCTGTGCATCCATTATCCCAAAAGTCTACACTCAACTCCTTAATATATTATACATTTATTAATTTTAACCTATAGAAACACTTCTGTTTTAATAAATGACAGTACTATTGAAACAACATTATTACTGAAGTGTTTCTTCAAAACATCTTGCCTATAAATATCAGAACTCAGCACCGCACCACCTAAAAAACAGCCGACACATCGACTCTCATTTTACCGGCTCATGTTTTAAAGCCTTTGTTCATCGCGTGTGATGTGAAAACATCAGATTTCCACACAGAGGAATAAAAAGCACGTGCCCTGTTCTCAGTTCAGCGGTAACATCCTCTCTCCTGATTGGCTGCTGACGGCTCAGTCAGCTTAAGGGTCAGTGAGTGCGTTTCTATCCACCTGTTTTATGCACATTTGCAATTTGAGCATAAAAACTTGAATAGAAATGCAGAAAATTCAAAATAAAATGCTAGAATTTTGGACCCAAAACGTATCCTTTCTTATTCACTTTGTTAATGTACAAAATCATTCAGTCTTTATCAATGAAAGTCAGTAAAAATCAACTTCAACAGAGCAGCAGAGTCACAGTGTGCTGACTGTACACAGCAGAACTCTGAGAATGAGATTCCACAGCACCTGATAAACAGAGCTGGACCCCTTTTCCCTCCCTCCCCAGTGCCATAATTCCTCTTAATCCTAGCTGGACACCATCTGGGAGCTCCTTGTGATTTGGGTGATAGCAGTTGGGTGTGGGGCAGACACCAGATGTCAGGAAGATGGAGTTTGGGTCACACATGTCACTCAGAAGTCATCAAACCTTTGGAGAAAAGGCTGTTTATTAGCTATAAGCTAATAAATACTTTATAAGCAAAAAAGTACATTTTATATATACAAGTTAGGATCGCACTAACACACACAGAAGGCTGGACCACAAGGCAGAGAGGACAGGACAGGCAATAGCAATCTTTACTAATAGAAAGTATGTCTGAATGGCAATATGCAGGTAGATAGGTAGGTATTCTTTCTCTACTACCAGGGGACGACAGGTGATGGCAGGTAAGGACAACCTTCTAATGGGCGTGGACAGAATAAACAACAGGTAGATTCAAATTAACGCTTTCCTTCTTGTGTCTTTGCAGGTACAGGCATGGGCCGGTGAGCTGATAACAGGTAACAGCTGTTTCACAAGTGGGAACATGAACAGCCTGTTCCAAGGCAAAGCCTCCCAAGCAGGGCAACGACAGACGAAGATGATCTGACAAGGAAGCGCCAGGGAGACGCTGCTTATATGCACGGCTGGTGGTGACTAGTAATGTGCCCCAGCTCTTGCCAGTCAGCCAGGTGAAAAGGAGCAGGAGCGTACCTGCCTGCAGGCCTAGAAATGGAGTCCATAGAGACAGCAGCAGGACATAGAAATACACCACACAGAGCAAGTAAGACCAAGAATATGACAAAACAGGGCTGTCAAAGTTATCATGATATTAACATACTTTTTTGACGTGCGATTAACACATGCACATTCTATGATTATGACTGTTGGCCTGCCCAGTAGTTTGGAAAATCAGTAGTAACGTGGATGACGAGCAGAAACAAGCCTCCTTGAGCAGAAACGGATAAAGAAAAGGGTCTTCTGAATGGCAGGTTCAGCTTCAAAGTCCTGTCAGATGGTTCTCTCAACAAGACCAAAGATATTTGCATTTACTGTCGATGTAAATTGAGTTACCACCGGAGCACGAGTCTCAAATGCCACTTCCTGGCCAAGCTCACAGCTGATGCAGAGAGCCCTCCTCCTCCTCGCCAAAGGCAGACCACATTGGATAGTTTGCACTATAGCCACTGTAACCAGGATACACAACTTGTATGAAGACCAGAAAGCTAAAGGGGAGGAGGCGCTGGGACAGACAAACAAGGTCACACTCACTAGTGGACTTCTCTCAGTAATCAGTTCCTCAGGGTCGGAAGAAGTACTCAGATCCTTTGCTTAAGTAAAAGTAGCAATACAACAATGTAAAAGTCCTCTGTTACAAGTTCAGCCTTCAAAATGTTACTACAGCAAAAGCACAAAAGTATTAGTATCAGAAAATACCTAAAGTACTAAAAGTAAAAGTACTCATTGGCACATCTCACATAAATAGAACAGATAAAAAAGTGCAATTAATTTATGATTAATTGCAAATTAACTATGAATTAAAGTTCTTGTCTGTCCTTCAACATCGTGCCCCTGTTTGGTCCACAGATCAGAGACACACCATCTGTTCACCTGCCCTCAAACTCTTTACCTCCTGACACACACTTCATTTATCCTCAGATTTCAGAGGTCACCGGCGATTCCGGACGCCGACCATGTGGCCGGTCCCATAACATGTGAGAGGTTACCTGCCCGATAAAGACTGACCTCTTGCCGGCCCCTGGGCCCTCAGAGGCCCTTTTATTAGTTACTTGAGCAGAAAACAAAACAAACTGTCAGGCAGAGACGCCACGACATGAGTCATATGGAAAGAGGAGCTAAAAGAAAAGGAGTAGTTCAAACTGCTGGGTAGAGATCATTCTTCCATACAAGTCCAGCTTCCATCAGATTGGATCGACAAACATTTGTTTTGTATTTAACATGTAAGCCCTGATACAAGATAATAATCTTTATGTTTGATAAAGCAGGGGGTTTACTGTGTGTTTGTTTTGGGTTTTATCATTTTTTTTTAAAGACAAATGAAAAGCAAACATTTCAAAAAATTAAATAAAACATAAATGTGCATATTCCTATATAAATTTTGAGCCATGATGTTCAGTCACCCAGCTGGTCGGCAAGACACCAGCCTGCAAATATTGTCATAAGTAAACCCTCCAAATCATTTCTAAAAGCAAAAATGCCAAAATTATTTTCTGACTCCAGGCAATAAATAAATAAATGCTTGCTGGTGTTTTCTGGCATCTCTCACAAATTTAAAAGGTTCCTTAAATACCAAGCATCTCGTTTTGTACCAATGGGACATTCTAGGTCATACTAAAGTCCAAATTACACAGCACTTTCCACATTTACACAGTTGTGACAATCCATTCAATGTAGATTTAGTTAAAACACCCATGAGGGTCCACACATACCGACTGTTTACTGCTGGAGTACTGAGTATGAGTTTCTCCATGTGAGCAAGGCAATGGGAGAGCAGAGCTGACAGACTATTGTAACTGGAGATAACAGCCACTGTAGAAGAGGACAATGAATTCTACAGTTACACCCAAGTCAAAATCCTACAGGGATCTACAGGAGTCATTTTAATGTATACAGTCCAGACAGTAACACTTGTTTTGTCCTTCAGGCTCTGTGCTTCAGCTCACTCACTCTGAAATAAAATAATGAATAATGGATACTGCATTAAAAGTGGCATCATTATCTTCTTAGGCGCAGGTGTGACAGCGGCAGGAAACAAAAATAAGCCTGTCAGCGCCTACCCTACCTGTCTGTCTGCCAGAAACAAACTGCAGCAGCTAAATGGTAAAATTTCTACAACAGCAGTTAAATGATTAAAGCTGATGTGGGTTCACTTAGTATCTGTAAAAACTCTCCAGGTTCTTCCTCAGTTTTCTTGGCTGGAAAATAAAGCATCATGGCTGCACTGACTTTCCTCTAAAAACCATAATAATAATAATCAGAAGACCAATCAAAACAGGGGGACGGATGAAAGTTCAGGGTAAGGACACGCAGCAGACGACCACAGATAATACTTAATCAAATGACTTATAGAGAGTGCAAAAGCACTGGGGAGCAAACAGTGTTTACCTAATTACCAATTATATGAAGCTCCTACAGACTTAAATTGCTCTCATCACACTTTCAGTAATTAAATAGTCCCTCATATAGAGTCCCATATAATTTAACTGAGAACAGCTGCAACAACTAGTGACATAAAACATTAAACCAAACTAAAACCACAATGTCCAGTCCAGAAATTCCTGAATTTTTAACTGGTCACTGGGAAATTAATTCAGACAAAGTACGCCACAACAAGAAAGGAAAAGTCATGTAAAGAGTTTTATGCAATGAATCGTGTTGTATTGTTATGCACTGAATGAAGCAAAAATTAAAACACAAAAATTCCTCATGCGGCTCACTTTCTGAACTACGATGCAGGGTGGGATTCATCCCCACCAACAAACCTACCAGGACACAGGGGTGATACAGCAAGACATTTGGTGTAGAGAGTAAAACAAAACAAATGGCCCATCCTGTAAAGCTGTGGTCAGTACAAAACTTTAAACTAACGTCAGCTCTGCTCTGACTGTACGGGGCACTGTCACTGTGCTGGGGAAAAAGGAAACCCTCTCAGTTTTTGTAACTGACCTTAACTTGACCTTGCCCAACTTTCCAAAGTTGGGCAAGGTCAAGCCAAATAATTAAGTCAGTCACAAATAAAGCTAAATGCATGAAATAATTACCCACTGCTGCACCAGGCCGACATTAGTAGAGAGACGGACACATGTTTAGAGTCAAGTTAAACACAAAGAGGGAATAGTGCAATGCAACAGCTTCACAACAATGGTCAACCATTCTTCCATGAGACAGAGTACGTCCTCTACATGAGTGTGTTATAAAGTCGAGGAATCAGAAAGCATACTTTTGCCATCTCAGACAGCAGGTGACCCCCAATCACTGACAGACAGGCATCAGCGTCGAAGCAGCAGAGTAGGTGTACTTACTATTCCTGTTGGTTTTGAGTTTGGCCAGCAGCTTCTGAGTGGACGGCAGGTCTCCGCTCTTCACTGCCTGCAGCAGCTCCTGCTCCTTCCCCATGCTCCACCCCACCCTCGCGTTTCAGCCGGCTTTATTTCAAACCCTGCAGCCTCCTCAAAGCCTCATGCTGAGCACCGGTGACATGAACCTGCATCAGGTGAGGCTCTCCGCTTCCTCTCCGTGACACTCAGCGGAAAGCACAAAAACAGCCCAAGACACGAAGTCCTCTCTCCTCTGTGTTTCTTCTGAGCCTGACGAGATGGAAAAACTCTTCTGCTGCTTATTTTCCTGCTCAGACTTTTATATGCTTCAGTATTTATTTGGGGGGGAGAACTTATTTCCAGGGTCCAGCAGAAGGGTTGGAGGTTTGTAGAGGTACTGTTGCTGTGTCTAGAGGCTTATGGGGTCAGGAAAAAGAGCCTGAGGCAGAAAAAAACAAAAAACAGATTAGTTTATCTAATACAGTACAACAGGTCTCCTGTCTGCTGCATGTGTGGACATGAAGTATAGTTAAGTGAAGCTGAGTTTTTCATCAAACCCAAATCCAGTACTACATCCATTTACCCAGTCCTAATCCTTATCAAATCTTATGGCTGCTAAATTAATCAAAACACAATCTTGACCCAGGGCCCTATGAGACCTCCTTTTCAATGGGGAGATGCACTGCATCAAAACAAATGTGCCTAATTTCTCCAAAAGCCTCATCATCAAGTGATGATGAGGAAGAACAGTAAATGTATCCACCCCAGGTTTGCGCACGTTTCTACTGTACAACACTTATTGTCTTTACAGATTAATCCGCTGCTTATTTTTCAATTAACTGATTATTGATTTGGTCGAGGAAACTTTATCAAACTGTGAAAAACGGCCATCACAATATCAGAGAGCCCAGTGTGACTTTAGGATGTCATGTTTCAAAACATTTGGTTTGCTCTGAAGTCAGACCACAGACTGTCTATAAAGATGAAGGACGTGACAGCTCCCAGAAATGAAGCCAGAGTGAACCAAATTAATAATTCAAAGTACAAATCAAATTATTTTTTTCCCAGAGATTAGTTCCATCATTTGTATAAAACAGAGAAGACACTGTAACCAGTAAATATAGGCTGTTGTGGTTTAAAAATAACTTATATGATTAATGTGTAATTGTTCTGATCAATTAACTGATTGATTCACAAAGTTATTGCTTTTGGGTTTATTGTTAGAGCTGCAATGATCATTAATTATGCAACTATTTTGACAATCAAACAACTGCTTTATGTAGTTAAGTAAAAATTCTAGTCTAAACATTTCATTCTTGCTCATGTAGCATTAACATAGCCTATAGACAAACCTGACAGTCAAAGAAGGTACACACACACACACACACACACACACACACACACACACCTGTCACAGGTGAGATTAGTGCTGTAAAAGAACAGTGACGTTGTGTGTAACCTCCTGTGAGCTCAGAGGTCGGTTTATTTACAGCTCGCCAAACAACTCTGGATGATCCACTCCTCTGTGCAAATACTGATGGGACGTCCAGAGTCTTTGCTACAGCATGAGAACTTAAACATTTGCTGCACTGGGTCAAGTCAAGTGTGTGCAAGGTTTTACACCAAACAAGAAGAAAATAACCTCCTGGTGTTCAGACTCGACCCTGTGCCACTACTTCCCTCGGGGCTCTGTGATGGATTATACGCTTGCTTTGGCCACGCATGGACTTCATTTCAACTTCAGAACAGCTACTTAAACTCTTCCAGCTCAGTGGCCAGGCCAGAGATATAGGCGGAAGAGGTTGGCAGAGTCAGTCATCTCTGCTCCAGTCTTCCTACAGACAACTGACATTACTGTTGGCAGTCCTGATCTCTACATGAAAACATGCAGCACCAGGCTTCAGACATTCAGTGTTTCTATGCAAACAGAGTGTTTTGAAGAGTGTTTGCAGTCGGACCACAGAGTACAGACACTGTAGAAACACCGGTGTGGCCCTGCACCCTGCTCTTGATTTCTGCTCTGTTTTCCTGGTTACAACTTGTTTCATTACATAACCAGGCAGCCACAGAGGAACACAGGGGCCTAGGCAGAGCTAACAGTCCCATTTACACTGATCATGGCCCATTTTTCTTTCCTTCCACAACCCTCAGGCATTTTGTGTTCTCACAGCATTCATGACAAGAGGTACAACGGTCATATATTTCACTCTGACACTACAGCGACTCAGTCAACTGGCTCTAAGTGGACATGAGTAAACCATTTGATTGCTCAAAAAAATCACTTTGAGGTCAAATTTATCTTGTGCATGATGAAATGTTTGTATCATTTTGTAAATACTGTTCTGATCCCTTACTGTGAATTTGTTTAATATATAATTACAAGACACATTGGAACACACTGAACTCGAAAGGCATAAGAACTTATAAACTACTTGAATAGTGCAAAAAGCTCTGTTTTGATTAACCTCAAAATGTTTTTTTTATACTTTGGAAAAGTTATGGCATCCTTCATTTTAAAAATCTGCTAATTTGACCATTTTGTGCTCAACAATCCCCCCCAAAAAACAACTGTGAGATATTATTTCAAGTTTGCCTGAATTAAAGAGTCATTCTTCTATTCGGGGAAAACGGAATAACAAGCACTGCTAAACCTTTCTCACTAGAAGTCTTGTAAAAAATAAACACTGCATGGTGAGGGCGTAAATTAGGAAGCAGTATGACCAAAAAAGAAATTAAAATGCTGTTATGTAATGTAATCGCACGCCGATTTGAACAGTTGTTTCCAAATATACCGGTCTAGCACAGGTCTGGTCTATCACTGAGCTAATATTTTTATAAACGACTCAATATAAAAGAGATGTGAAGGGGGTGAAGTTTTCTCGGCACCGGAGAAACTGGCATAAAGCGGCAGGACTCTGGCATGTAAACACACCGGAGACAGCTCGGCCAGCACTGACCTTTGTATCTAAGTTAGTTAAATCACTTGTAAGGACCCTTTTCCTAAAATCATTACCGTAAAGAAGAAGCCACAACGTTCATAGAGGACTTACCTATTTTAGTGTAATGTCCAAGAAACTTTTCAACCTCCGAATTTAAACACCACGGTGGGTGGCAGCTTGGAGGACGAGCTGGAGAAGTGTTCCTTATGTTGATATTCCAGAAAAGTACTGTCGCTTTCCTTTCGGCTTTTCATCCAGCAGTAGTAGCTTCCAAGTGTACCAGATTACTGTTTACTCCGCACACATAACTGACATAAAATTGTGCGTATTTTATGACTTTAATACTTTATACGAGTCTACACTTATGAAGCCAATGTTCCTCCGGCTTTTCCCTCCAAACCGCGAATGCCACATTCTCTCCGCTGGATTATCCAGAGTGTGTTCACGGTATCTTTGATCAAGGTACCGTGAACACAACACAAATCTTCCGGCTAAGACTTTCAAAATAATATATTTTATTGAAAGTTGACAAAACCTGTTCATCTGGATTCTGGACGTTGTTCTTCATCAAATAGAGCTGTCTGCATGTCATGGAATTGTAGAAATATCCATTCCTTTGAGCATTCTGCACACAACATTATGCATCTGTCATTCATACCGTCATATGATTAATTGCACAAAAGCTATAAAATAAACTTTAAATATTTTTTTTATCAGTAATCAGTCTGTCACTGGGTAAAAAAAATTAAAAAAAAAATCTGTGTGGAAATATCTTGTTCTTTAGTTTCTAAATGATCTACTATAGTTTTAAGATTTTTTTTTTAACTTTTAAACTTTTTTAAACTTTCCACATAGCCAAACTAAAATAAAAAATAACTAAAGTTTAAGAACATAAATAAGTTTGGGGGGGCACTGTCAGCCGTTGAGCAGGAGAGCGCAGATTTGTGTTTGTGTGAATAGCCCAGTCTCATCATAGGTCAGAGTCGGGTCATTGACGCTCGTGCTGACCTATCCATTCGGTGAGAAAAGTATTTTGTGCCCAATGCATTATGGCTAAATGCATGGAATCGTCACTTCAGCTGTAGTGACCCACGCAACGCATTACGCTTAAGCTAACTAGAGGCCGATTAGTCTCGTATCTTGATGTTGCAGTGTTGAAAATCTAAATATGGTAGGTCAGCCTTTACAACTCTGAAGCAGCCCAGAAAGTTGCAGTCGGTGCATCGCTAACCGTATCAGTGATTCTCATCAGCTAGTCATGAACTGTGTCTGCCTGCTGATGCTGCTGAGTAGGTAGTGTACAGTGGCTCTTAGGGCGAACAGACAACTAGACAAGAACTGTGATGCAAAGCCAAAACAAGAGCTAAAAGAGATTAAGTAGAGCTGCATTGTTGGCGAGTCTCTGTGAAGTTGTAACCACCAGAAACACTTTTCACCTTAGAGAGACACATTTGATTCAGTGTTATTGCAAATAGAATGTCTCCATTACTGAATTAGAAATAGTTAATATGTTGAAATATTTATTCTAAAATGGGAAAAAAATGGCAAAACATTTATAAACAAATAAATTTTATTATAATACATTTTATTAGGACAAAAACACAACAGTCTATTATTGTTCTTGTTGTTGCTGCTGTAAGTATAATTTATTAAATATGTTCATAAGAGTCATACAAACAAGTACACACAAGATGACTGCAGGTGAATTTGTCATTGTATTGTGGAAAATGTAGCATAACAAATAAAACTAAATTAAAATAAAAAAACCCATAAATCTGTATATTCCACAACTTGAAACCTACACAGGACATATGTCCTGATGCTAAGGCGGATTAAATTATAATTTTCCTGTAAATCAAAATACAAGGTCTTCATTGAATCTACTTGATTGCTTACATTTAGGGAAAATTCAGTTCAGTTGAAAAATAATCAAAAGCTCCACATCACATAAAAATATTCTAGATATTCAGCTAGAGAAATGTGGAATGTTTATAAACTTTAGCATCTCTTGAAAAAAAAAAGAGAATAAAATAAAACAAAAACAGAGAGAGCCCTGTGATAGACTGGCAACCTACCCAGGGTGAACCCTGCCTCTTCCCCAGTGTCAGCTGGGATTGGCTCCAGCCCCACCTTGACCCTCTTCAGGATAAGTGGTAAAGATAATGGATGGATGAAAAAACAGAGCTGCTTCCACTCTGCTGTTCTGTTTCTCTGTCTCCTCTGTCAGCTGTCTCCCCTTCTCTGGTACAACCTGAGGACCTTCCGGTGCAGCGCCTCCCACAGCTGGTTCCCCATCTGCGGGTCATGGTTGGCAAAGAACATCAGAGGCCTCCTGATGGAGTCATAGTAATGATCAGAGAATGCTGCATAGTTCCTGGTGATGAAGCCATAAGCTGAAACCTCCAGGATAGACAAATAGGATGTCCTTCAGTCATTCAAGGGCAATGTAATGATGGCTTACACCAACCCTTTTCATAAGCATCAAGCAACTTATACATCCACTGTTTACACACTGTGTGTGAGTGTGTTAGTTACCTGGTCACAGGTGTGTAAGG